TATACTATAACAATACAATATGTGTAAGCGATATCCTTGTAACACGAGTATAGTGGGTGTCCGATTTAATTGGTAACGGTATACGTTCGGCTAAAAAGCGGATGCCGGCTTCGTGGCTGTTCGCTTTGCGTTTTATTGTCGTGTTGTCTCCGACGATGGGAAATCGCGAAGGCGAAGAACCGCGAAATCGCTCCGCTAAGATGCGTCGTGAGTAAAAACGATTACACGCGTCGTGTTGACTGAGAAATGCTACGCGGATGCTGTGACACGCGTGTCGTGAAACATCACGATCACGTCTGTTGTCCGTTTTTGTTCCGTTTTCCTCTGTTTCTTGTAAAGGTCCGCGCTTGCGTCGCACGATTTTCTCGTTCACGAAAGTGTATAATTTTTTTCCTAAATACATATAATCGATTGGGTACTGAAGTGTTAATATATGGCTAATTCTAAACGTAGATTTTGAATGTGACAACATTGATTAATAAATTATTTCAATCATCAAATCTAAGTCATTTATTCAGTTATTTTATTACCTTCCGTTATCATAATTTCGTTAATTAACTATGTCTCATATCTACGAGAATGAGTTCAACACGATTTTTATGAGTATACAAGAACTTACAAAACTTATTATAGCAAGTAATGATCTTTTCATAAATACTGAAATTAAAATTAAAATATTATATTTTCTTAGACATTCTCCTTAAAGTCTACTTCTTGTTGATGTGAAGATTCAATCTGATTCAATACATATATATAAAATTTGTAACTCTGTTCCAATTATCTGACTTAGAAAAGTCTTCGTCTAACTATTTAATTTATGTAACCTACATTATAATGTACACTTTTTTTCTACTTTCTTCAACAGTATGTTCTATTTGTCATCTTAGTTCATTTCTGAGTAGACTTGTCATACTCAGTTACTAACAAGAGAAGTTTCACAACTGCCCGGAACCGATTTGATTCTCTATAGAAATATGTTATATACGTGCCCTAACTCATGTTTAAGGGGTGTCACGTATAAAAAAATACGTCTCTTTTAGATTTTCGTGTTTAACAACATATTTCATGGAGAATCAAATCGGTTCCGGACAGTTGTGAAATTTTCCTTGTAAGTACCCAAAATGTAAAATACGACTCGACATTTATAATAACACGTATCTGATTTTAACATGTCAACGTACTCAAAAATCATGCGACGCGCAGCAAACCCCGGGGAGCTCGAGCAAAAATCTCGAAGAGACGGAAGGGAGGAACGAGGGTTATAATAATTTGAGGAAACCGGAAGAAGGGCAAAGGAGGTACGAAGAAGGTATGGCGGAAAGTTAAGTATCGTAACGACAGTATTAGTATGCAGTGTGGAAGAGAAAGTAGTATACGCAGACAGCAGTGGCGAAGCCCGAGAAAAGCCGAAGAAAGAGGGGCGGAAAGAAGGGCGGAAGAGAACCAAAGAAGCGCGCGAGGAAGTCAGAGTTAGCCGAAAAGAAAAAAAAGGAAAAGAAAAAACGGAGAACACCGCGCTTGAGCGAAATGTAAGTGAACGGTATAACGATGGTCTGAGTGCGCTGCTGAGCAATACAGTATAATACTACTAGATAGAATATATACAGTATATATCGTTGTTGATAACAGGGGCGTAGCGATAAAGTAAAAAAACCGTGTAAAACAAAGGGATTTTTCCCTCTTCAAGATTTCATTAAACGTTATATTTATTTCATATGAGAGATTACACTGAAATATTTTCTTCCTTTAGCCAAAAGATACCTAGAGTTATTAATAAAAGTAGCGCATTTCTTTGATCTGAACCGAAATGCCGACAACTTTCCTATTGGTTATTTCGACCGCCATTTTGGACCTAGTTGTCTACAGTCGAATAAGCGCTTACTTAGTATTATTGACACATGGTATGGTTAGTAAGTCCAATATGGCGAACTTTTGCGCTACTTTTATTAATATAGAGCTTTAAAAGATACCGGCTACACCCCTGATTGATAAGTAAAACAGCAATGTGTCTCGATGATGCACGCGTGAGTGTCGCGTGTTATTATTTCCCTAGCGAAAAGGGGTGCGCGAGTAACGGGGCCCCGTTCTGTCGTCGGCAGATTCGTGTCCGATTTTCCCCGATTGGTGATACACCGACGTCTATCTAATCTAAATTATTCCGTCATTACAATTACAACACTCACAGACAATTTCGCGAGAGGAAAAAAATGGACTTCCAAGAAAGACTGGAGTGTTTCCGCTCAGGATTAATGGCTGTATCATCAGTAGAAATAGAAGTTAGAGGATGAGATAGACAATATAAAATGGATGACGAAATGTTGCTTCTCGACGAATTAGAGCAGGAAGCGTGAAATTTTCAGAAAACGGGAAATCGACTTCAAACTGCCTCGGAATCGGAGTCCTGCTACCGGTCCCCTTTCCCGGGGCAATCTGTATGCAGGACGTGTCGGAAATACGCGGCAATATTTCAGAGCGATGGTCATGAGCAGATGCATAATGGCGCGGAGAGATGCGTGTGCAGGAAAACGATACTTCTAAAGCTCTAGATACATCAAAATATCCCAATCCTTTTATCCGGGAGTCGATTGTGTATCTTGAAATGAGGTGAAAATTACAAAAGTGAGCAAATTCACTATTTACTGACCAATTAAATTATGAATATTCTAGTGAATTTGCTCGCTTTTGTAATTTTCATCTCATTTCGAGGTACACAAGATCCCCTGAGCCGAAATGCCGACAACTTTCCTATTGGCTATTTCGACTGCCATTTTCAACCTAATTGTCTGTAGTCCAATAAGCGCTTAGTATTATTGGTATATAGTATGGTTAGTAAGTCTAAAATGGAGGATCTTTGCGCTACTTTGGTATATCTAGAGCTTTAGATACTTCCATCTATTAACGACACCGTATAACGAGCTCGTAATTGCCACGCTCGCGAGATATCGCCGCGTATTTTAATCGCACGATGGATAAGAAGATATTCTCTATCTGCGCCGCAATTAAAAACGCCCAATAAAAATAGAAGTAAGGCGTTTCAAGAATAAATATATAAAAACCGAAGGGGCCAATCGATATTATCTAATATCATTTACCTTTTTCAAGTATTTTAGTAACAATACTGAAAAAATAATTATTAAATCCTAATACATATTTCTTAGAATAGTACTAAGTAGATATTTACTTACAGTAAATAAATATTTACTCAATCAAAAAATATAGTTAAATCGAAATAGTGATTTTTGTATTAAATAAATATATGTTTACATTTAGTAAATATTTACTCAGAACTATTCAAACACAAATGTTTATTAAAATTTAGTATTTTTTTCAGTGAAGATGAAAGAAATCGGGAAATAATTTGTCGCGACGAAATCGCGAGTACTATTCTTATCCACGATGCATCGGTACGTATATGCACGCTGTAAAATGTTGATATTGTTGATATTTATTGCCGGTTGTCGCTTCCAGTGTCGGGATCGACGTGACGGTCGCAAAGACCGTGCACGCCTGAGTATCTTTCGTATTTTCTCTTTCCTCTCGCGCAAAACTATTTGTTTGTGTTAGAGGCTAGAGTGAAGTGGCTTACCGCCTTGTTCGTCCAGCATTACGAGGGTTTTCATCCCGACCTCGTGGCTCTAAACAGGCAACCGACAGGCAATCAGGCGGCGTGTTAAACATTGAGGTAAAGTTAATCGCCGTCGGGACGCTCCCTCGCCTCGCTCCGCGGCGATCCTCAACGCCACCCCCCAAATAAAGAAAAAGAAAGGTTCCCCCCGCCGTGTTCGCCTGTGCCAAACGCGGGGAGAAACGAGGGAGAGACGTGAGACAGAAAGAAAATGACGGAGAAAGAGATAGAGATGAGAATGTCGGCGGGCGAGAGGGCGCGGACGACGAATTTCGGCCTCAGCTAATTAATTTGTTATGCATATCAGGAGGGTGGATGGACGAGGATGGATGACGACGTGACGCTTGACAGTTGTCGACAAATGCTGGCACAATGAGGTTCAATGTGGCAAAATGAGGTTCAACGATGAAAGAGAGGACCGGAATGATGAAAAGGGATGCGTAGGAGAGTCCACCCTGCATTACTTTTTTTTCCTAATTAATTTCAGGAAGGTTGGACGAAGTGGCGAGGATATTATTTTATGCTAAGTATAATTAATAGCAATTAAGTTGAGATCTAAAAAGGACGAACAGGTGGCGACGTACAAATCTTCACACTCCTGGATGAGTATTCGATGGGAGATCCTGGTAATTGGTAGAAAATGCGTAGATTTCGCTCTAATTATTTTCTTCTCGCGAATTTCAGGGGATGAATGAAAAATTCGGTGAACAGAACGCGCATGAAAGAGAGCGATATTTTAAACACTCGAGAGTGAAGAATGAAAGGTGTTAAAAATATAGGATGAAACCTACGCGGTTTCCCGTAACGAGAGTTATGATCTCATGAATTCGAAGCTGATAATCTTTCGCACTCACGTATGACATCTGCAATATATTTACACATACATATGTAATGAACATTCGAATTCCTAGTGATATACGAATAAACGACTTGCACGTAAACTTTATGACGTCCGTAAAAGTACAAAATTACATATGTATAAGTATGTACAAAAAATCACTCTAAATTGACGATATTCTGATCAAGCGAACACGAGTTTCGAGTAGCTTCTAATAAAGCAATTGCTTATTTCTATACATTTCAAAATAAATTTCGAATGTTGTATTCGAAGGAATAAGCTTTTTCAACTTCGATATGTTCTTCGATATATAACGAGCGAAGAATATAAAATTTCTGAGTGCGAACGATTCCGTCGACTGATGACGCACCTCGTAGAAGTAAATGGACACCAGAGCAGAGCAAAGCTAGAGAGGAAGGTGGCGAAGGCGAGAAAGATAGAGAGAAAGAGAGGCAGAAGTATAGAAAAAGGTAAAAGGATAGCGGGTTCCATTCGACGAGTGTCCCGCACAGTAGACATCGATAGAGCATCATGCCGTTGAAAGATACGGTACTGGAGATACGGTGTCGGGGATCGGGGGATAAGATCGGGGTAACAAATGGAGTTCTGTCGGGTGCCCTAAATAAACCTAGGTGGGAGACCTAAAAGCGACAACGTCGCTGAGGTGGTCCGACATCGATGACGGCACGGTCGTTCGATCTTTCACCTATCCGCTGGCCATTCTCGTCATCGTGGGAATCTTACTTGTTATCTTTGTCCGGATGACAGCGAATGCCATGGTTCATTATCAACGAAGGAGAGAATCGACTGCGCGGTTGATTCGCATCGTACACGATTTAGGCACCGATTATGTTGATTCGAGTCACAACTATAGACAACTATATACATTTTCCACAAGATATTATTAAATAAAAAAAGTAAATATCACACTAATCAACCCTTAAACACCTTTTTGGTATACATCCCAGTGACCGGACATGTACATTTACAATATTATAATTTAATTGTATTTAAAGATCACAATTAAATTATAATATTATATTCATAAAGTTTTATGTAAATGTCCGGACATGTCTGGGACGTTTACTTTATCTGACTTTTTTCCACTGCTTTTTCCACATTGCTTATAATTTTTATTAATAAAGATACATACATTTGTTTGGTATTATTACATTCTTTAATGTCTGGCGTTTCGAATGAAAACAATTATTTACAATGTTCATTTTTATGAAAGTTATAAGCAATTGGGTCGGATATGCCACATCCAAGTGCGTTGTTCCCGTAATATACGTTTAAAGGTTAATTAAAGTAAAAATGAGATATTTTTCAATCGCAGATACCGCTAATATTTCGTTCTCTTTACGAAATAAAAATCTAAAATATTCCTGAATCTTCTGATCGACCGTTCACAGTCGATTCTTTATTTCGCACTTTATCAGGATTCCGGTAATCACGCATTGGAAGCACGCTATCCCAAAGGGAAACGCAAATTGACAGCTAATGAAGGGCGTTCTTCGCTTCGCGCCAGCTTTTTCCCCTCTTTTCTTATACCATGTTATTCCTCTTTTTTTTTCATATCGACGTTTTATACTCGTCGAACTATCGCATCGCTCGCTCGTTCTTCGCAGAATAGAGAGATAGAGAGACAAAGAGAGAGAAAGACAGTGACTTATTGATGTTTACTGGGAGACTGCTTACCGCCTTGGTGGTCTAACATCGTCAGAGTGTTCGCTCCGATCTCCTCGCTCTACGACAGGTTCGAAGGTGCCACACATTAACGGAAACGAAAGAATCGTTTTTCTCAGTGGATGCGTGCGAGAATTAACTGCAGAACAAAGTCACAGACAAGAAAGCAACAAAATCGCAGAGGCACGTCCCGTCGGACCGAAAACGACGATTTCTGCGCGGTAGCAGAAACGTTATCGTTCGTAAAATAATAATGCAATTACGAGACCAATTGTTTGTTGCAATTGAATCGCAAGTTGCGTTTATCAATATAAAAAAAGAAAAGGGAAAATATATCGCGCTCTCCTCGATAGAACGTGCCGCGCGTAACGAACAGATAATAATATGTTTATTGAAGTCAAACAAATAAGTAATAAGTAATTATAATAATAATAATAAATAATAATAATGTGTTAAAAATAGTAAGAAGGTTAATAAGAACGATGATAACCGAAATAGCGATCCAGAGGCAGCTCGTCGTGTCAATGTCTCTGAGATATCATACGTACATGATCCTAATCGCAACGATGTAACCATAATCACCTCACCCACCTCTTCATAGGCCGATTGCAGTCATGCAGTCATTTTAGCTAAATTACTTATTTTTATATTAACCCTCCACTACAGAAACAAGTCACGTGGATCCAAACCAACATTTTTGAACAATTGCACAATCTGTATGATTGATACTATGAGGTTTTAAGTTGTAAATAAAATAACTTTGAACCTTCCTCTATCAATCGCCATAAGGCGGAGGCTCACTTGCATTCTGTACTTCAAACAGACGTTTTAAAACTTAGGAATACTTTTCAATATAGTTGAAGGTTAATAATAAGACTTCCTAAAAAACATGAAGTCAATGGTAGTTATTCAAATAATCCGAGTTCCCGAAAAGAGCTCGATTTAAGAACTGAGATGACCTGGCATGAAACCATCCCAATTTCTCAGTAATCAGTTCTAATCGAATTTCCCTCGCGTTACAATCGCGATCAATCAGCCACGACTGCAACCGGTTTCTGCATTTAGCGCTTACGTTAGAAGTTACAACAAGAATAGGGAGATAACAACGATGACGGACACAACGTCGACGATATTAAGAGTAATGACTGATGACGAGACGATCTAATGGAGCGTAAATGGGCGAGATGCGTCGGCGACGTTGATAAAGAGAGAGAGATATTGATTATCGGTGAACTATAGTTCCCGCTTCCAGGAGAGGGGGGGAGAGTTTTCTTCGTGGATAAGAAATAGGAGTGAAAATTATTAGATTAAATCAGAGATTGCTCTTTGCTTATTTCCCCGAGGTAATCTTCCAAGATGATCTTTTGAGGGGAATTGCAAAGCAAGTTTAAACGTGAGAAAGTGATTGGCTGTTGAAGGAAACTTCAAGATTTTTCGGGGTTAATCTAATAATTTTCATCCTCGTGATTTTTTAAGGTCACCATGTCAATTATAAGTTTAAGCGACTGTCGCCGATGCGTCTCTTGAGAGTCAAACGCGTATTTAGGCGAATATATACATTAAACCGGCCAGATAATGATGAAGAGATGATAACGATAGTAACCACGACGACGACGACGATGACGACGACGACGACGACGACGACAATGACGACGACGACGACGATGGTCACTTAATTACTCTCGCCGTGCTAATCGGTGATTAGCGTGATTGGCGCGATCGCGCCGAGCGGAGTTTCTTTGCGTCGTTTGACTTTCTTGTTAATCTACTTCGTTCCGAGCTCAATTGGACGACCGATTCTCGATTCTCACACACAAATTATATTTATATAATAATACACATATATAATCCTTCCTGATAACGTATATGCACCGCGCACATTACATTTCGGCCAGCGACTCGAAGTCAAAGCGGGGACAGTATCTACTTTGGTAAGACGACGGCCGACAGAAAGTATAAGTTACACGTTTGATGCACAGATTGCAACAAGAAAAAGAAGAAAAAAACAAGGAGAGATACAGAGAAACGAAAGACAGAAAGAGGGGAAGTGAGAGAAGATATTAGGTTATAAAAGAGAGGAGTGGAGTAAAATAAGTTACGACAGACAGACAGATATCTACTGTCACAAGCGTTTACGAGAATTACGGGATATATACTTTTTTGATATGTACACTAGATAGACAAATACATGTTAATATGTACATACATAAAGAGAAATATATATGTATGTAGTTACATATATATTGAACCAAAAAAAAATATATGTATATTTTACACGTAGACTGAAAGCGACACAGCTGTAAGCTTCGCGAATGGCTACAGTATACAAAATACAATAAAGAGATAAAGTACACAGTCCAGAGAATTACAGCGTGTATCTTGTGAAGTGTGGATCGATCGGGCTAATTGCGACACGAGTGCGACATCGCGACACTTTCAATGATTAACGAAGCAGATGATGAAAGTTATGCTAAAATTAATATTCGCTCATAATTTATGGCGAATCACTTTATGATAAATCGATCGTTTAATTGATGACGGCTATTGCCGGTCGAGAATTATGACAATGATGATTATGGTTTCACGTAACAGTATTATCTCGCTATAAATTGCCTTGTCACACTAAGTTAATTACATAAATTATAACGTAGATTATTACTTATTATTAATTATCTACTCTCTAAAACTTTTAGAAAGAATTGTCACTCTTTGAAGATTGAAAATTGAGCTATTCCTTTTCAAGAGTGGTTCAATTTTCACTCTTTAGAGAATGAGATTCCACTCCAAAGAATTTAGAGAGTGCTGAATTATCTAGAATGAAATACGATAATGCACTTGTAAGTATCGAAAACTGTCGCGATGCCTAATTCGTGGGACTGTCCCAATTATTCCGATACGTCCCGTATACGAAAGCAGGCGCGATAACAGCGTTCGATAGGTGAGTGTGCTTGGCACGCTTTAAAATTTCACCACATCTGAGAAAGGATATGAAGGACCGAGAGGAAAATTCGAATGCATGATTAAATCATTTCCACTGTCAGATATCATTATTGTATTTCGCTGCACGCGACGCATTTAGCGTGTCGTGTGGATGGCAGAAAGTATTTGAAATCTTCTACAGAAAGAGTGAGAAAGGGAGCGAAGTGGGAAGGGTGAATGTGTGAGTGTAAAATCGGTTTACACAGAAAAAAAAAACGGAAACGATCACGATGGAATACACCATCCGAACAACAGCTGTTCATCGTACACGAGAGCAGTCGGATCTCGTTAAGCGATTCCTACAAGCGGTCCAACAGTCTGCGCGACAAGAAAGAAAAATTATGGAAAAATTACAGGGTAAGGTACCTAAATGAAGTAGAAGATCAACATCAGATCAGAGGGTTCTAAAGATCGGTATTAAGATAGAGATACATACATAAGAGACAAAGGCTGTCAAAATATCGATGTACGTTAATAAAAATATCTGTATTGAGATGTAAAGTTAATGTAATGGTTTGTTTATGCAATGATGAGAGATGTCCGTTTGCGACAACAATCCGCGCAGATTGTTGGGTCGTGTATGAGCCGTTTCGCGTTAACGCTGGCAAATAGCAGCAGCGATAGCAGCAGCAGCAGCAGCAGAGATGACTGATTCATTGCTGGAGGCACATTTTCACGTCATGTATATGTTGTGATCGGCAATGTATGTCGTGAGAATTTCTCCTATATATAACGTTAGATTTCTTAATGTCGGTGGTGAGACATGTGACGTACAGGGTAAAAAACGGGCCTGAATAGAATTTCTGAATAGAATTCGCGTTGTAGTCGCATGAGCTGCATTCGTCAAGTCGTCAGGAAAACAAATTTTCATCTGCTAAAATTTAACAGAGTCAAAAAGAGATTCTTTCGATTTCAATCAGAGATGATAAAAAATATTATATATAAAAAAGCACCTTGCGTTATCTTTTGCGAATGATTATAAAAAAATTAACCTGATACTTTCAGAATATTTAGCGAATTTGTATGAAATTAATGAGTTAATGAAAATTTGAGTTTAATTTAATGAAAATTTTCCTCAACGACCCAAGGCGCAGTCTAGACGTAGTGTAATGGTACAAGTAGTAACGTTAGTAATATTAGCAGTATCAGTGGTGTCAGTGATGGCGATATGGTGTTGTAATCAGTATAGTAATCGTAGTAGACCGGCAGTAATGGTATACAACTTGCAATTGTGCAGTGGCAGTTGGCTGTCGATCTCCCTAATCGAGATTGCTAATCGAGCGCGAAATGATCTTCATTGTTGATATCCTATTATAGTGTAAGGACGATCGTCCCCGTCTAAGCCTTCTTAGGAACGTAAGAGACGATTAAGGGAGAGCAAAGCTAAAGTGGAACCAACCGTTGGCCCACACACACACTATGAAATGAGGTAATTTCAGACGCATTAGGTAAACCGAGCGTAAATTGATCGATATTTTGGAGATCAAAGTTCAGAATTGAACCCCACTCTCGCACAAAAAAAACCCTCGGAGGTTCTTTCAAATTTTTGTCTGACGTTTTACGCTAATGTAGAACAAATTGTACGTCTCGCGAGAACTCCACGTACCGTCTGCGTCTGCGAGATCCGGCGTTGCGGAATTACTCGTACAAACGTTTGCTGAATTGGGACACGCTAATATCCGGCGCATGCACATCGATCGTAATTAACGGGGATGATTGTTCGGGGATGATTGTTCGGGGATGGCAGTCCCCAATATCCGTAATACCTCGGGCCCCGGTAGGATTGAGTATGTTAATAGAATAATTTCCGTCTTGTTAACAGTCACAACCTGCGAGCATTGACTCGACATCATTGAATTAACCCTTTCGGTCGTTTTATAGAGAAATTGTTGCGCTCGTAAGAAAATTTAATATCGAGTAGAAAATACATATATAAATATTTTTTGTATGCTAGAATCTTCCTTCGTATCAAGAGCTTGTGCGTGTGCACGACCGGAAGAGTCAATGTTCAATCGTTATACCGTCATGCGTGTGTCTAATTATCAGAGAGAATAATTACGTAGGTGTATTAAAAAAATTTAGCGCGTTTCTGAATTTCTCTCACAAGTAGCAAGCATAAACAGCGTTCAAGATGAAATCTACGGGATGCCCGAATACTATTAACTGTCGTTGTTTAGCTTCGACATAAAAATATACGGGAAAAATTAGGAAAATCGCAAAAGTAATCTCCAAAACGAAAAGATTCTATTTTCAACTCTTATAAAATCAAATAAAATTTACTATTAAATGTTTATTTTTTTAAAAAAGCAGCTTAGCTTCCTAGAAATAGAACAAATCTAAAAAAAGAAAAAAATACATCTTACGATGGAAATAAAAAAAAAACTTTTAATTACTTTCACTCAATGAAATTAAAATACTACTTGCACATCTCGCGTAGAAAGAATAACAAAAGTTATAAAGGCTCGCTATGTGTTTTTCCCATAAAGTTCCCGCTCGAGACTCCGTCATATTATACATTTATTTGTGTCATGTTATACGTTTGCGTGTCATATGCGTGTTAGGAGGACACTCGCGGGTAACGCTTGTGGCTGACAGACGGTGTGTTAAATTGTAAGACGTGCGTGATTATACGACAACGAGTGGTTCCCTCGTTCCTTCATCTCCTACCCTCGTTTTTGGCCATTACTTAATTTCTAACAAGCGGAATTCACTCACCTCCCTGGTCGTCGAGTGCGACCAGAGTGCGGATGCCAGCCTCCTTGCTCTACGACAGACAGAGGCAGCACAACACAGACAACCACCACCAGTGTTAGAGAGCGAGAGATAGAGATAGAGAGAAAGAAAGAGAAAAGAAAGAGAGATAGAAAGAAAGAGAGAAAGAGTCGTACCATCTTTCTTTACTCTTTCTTCACATCT